GGCCGAGCCTTCCTGATCTTAGATTCATTTCTTCGGCAAGAGTTACCATAATAACTTTTGTTAGCTCGCTAACGAGCTCTAAATTAATAAAAGGACTCAAGAAAATACCTCAAAGCTCTACAGCACCCTTTGGCTCACTCTAAACTTTACTCTACTCGACCTCTTCACTGTGCTTTCAACCTCATCGGCGGGAGTACCGCCCGGTCTCCAGCTTCATCGTCCATCTACAGCTGCACCTGCCGTCCATCAGCAGCTCCAGCCACCGGCCGATACACCAGTATCCCCGGCCAACCTATCAAGAGCTTCTGCCAGCCACCAGCAGGGCAGGTCAAGCACTGAGAGGAGAGACACCGGTACAGGAACATTTTGTCGCTACACGACACCACTCCAGTAAAGTCTACATTGCCTTTGATTAAAATACAGGGAAAACGGGTTAAGTGGGACCTGGATAAGTGAGAAACCTCTATTATTGAGAACTACAATGAGGTCCCGGCACTTTTTATCGAATAACCTGGTTTAATGAGATTTGATATCTAGGATTTTTTCGATGTTTACCTCTATAATTGGGACTCAGGAGATGAATTCTCTTTATAAGTGAAACAATTTATCAGGTTGGGTAAGGTTTTGATACAATTGTTTGCAAACATTTGAATTTATATCGCATGTGCTTTGTTTGTTAGTACTATTTCCAATTTTGACGTACAAACAAGAGAATAAAAGTTTACAAAATGGTCAAACGTAAATATAACACATTATTAGCATCTGAGAAATTTAAGCTTCTATCAGATTATATTATTAAGTATTTTAAGATATCAAATATTGATAATTCTAGTAATTTTGATCAAATTTATTCTTTTGAGAAACAGGTTTAAACTACTAGCAATCAAATACAAACAAACATAACCGATTACTTTAAGTAATACACTTTACTGTGTATTTTTTCCATAATAAATACATATGTCCCTTAATTTATAACACCAAAAATACACATTTTTATTAATATTTTCACCTTTATAAATGGAATAACGGTACATTTCGACCTCTATAAGCAGGGGGACCTACTCTGTAAATGAGAAAACTAAATTATAAACCTGTCTAATTGGAGAACTGGATAAATGAAAACCTCTTTAAATGGTACAAATTCCTTGGTCCCTTGAGATCCTAATTAACCAGGTTTCACTGTATTTTTTTAAGTGAATAAGGCTGAGCGCAGATTACAGTCACGACAGTTGTTAGACAATCTTGTCTTACATAGACGAGACAGCTTTACAATTAAAAAGAAACAGTTGTGTCTACCAAAAGGCGCACACCAAGACGAAACTGTTTTGTCTATGATGCGACACACACCATTTTCATCAGTATCAGAATAGATTTCACCGATTATTTATTTTATAGAAATTAAGGCACCTGCCCAGAAAGTTTTACCAGTAATTTCGAATGAATGTATCAATCTATCTTTGATAATTTGTCAAAATTTATGGACCCACATATTACTTATTTTATCGTATGTATTATACTTTCTTTCAGTATCGATTATCATCCCTAATCGCTAGACAATTTTGTCGTTGGTGTGCGCCCTCGCATACATTACAAAGGGAAGCGGACAATCGTCAGTAAGACTTGTCGCTTTGCAGTTCTTGTGTACATAAGACTTTTTTGTCTATGAGACGTCTCGTTTCGAATGTGCGCATCTTCATAATTTTTGTTAAGCAATAGTCTGTCTTGAGACTGTCTTTTATTTATTTATTTATTTAATTTTTGGGAGACCAACAGCTCATAAAACAGACATAGTTGAGGAAAAATTAGTAACAGAAGGCCAATTACAGGTCTCCACGTTTAAAAAACAGAAATCTTTATACTTTAACATATAAAATTAAAATTAAAAACGTGCGGACAAAATAATATGATTAGTCTACATAGTAAAGACAATTCGCCCTCTTAACAATCTTAAACAATGTTCTTTTATTAATAGCAAATTAATGTTATTATTTAGTTTAAGTTCACAATTGTGTATAGATACTATCATAATACTCGTTCAAAAAATTCACTGCATAGAAGACGCCTTGCAGTTGCTACACCAGAATTGAATATATCAAAGTCTTTTCTAGACTTGCAAAATTCGTTCAGTGCAATGCTCGCTCGCAACAAGAATGCATTTTGTCGATAATTTGTGGAAACTAATGGTATACTAATTGGGATATAGTGCCTTGCTGACTTCGATGGGACATTGAAGTTTAGTTTAGAAATAAGTTCAGGGGAGTTAATTTTATTTGATATAATTTTTAGCAAATATACTACATCAGATAGTTCACGTCGTTTTTATAAAGGAAGAAGGTGAAATCGGGAACATAAACTTAAGTAATTCGTGGAAGTGTAGGGCATTTTCAGACGAAAGCACAAGAATTTCACAAATTTTTCCTGTAGTCGCTCGATGCGGTTAATGTATTTGTTGTATCGTGGATTCCAGATCTCGGATCCATACTCCAGTATGCTTCTAACGTAAGTGCAGTACAGAATTTTTATCGTTTTGATGTCATTGAAACAAGCTGAAGTACGCATATCAAATCCGAGAGCCCTTGAAGCTTTTTTCACAATACTATCTATATGTTTATCAAAGAGAAGCTTTGAGTCATGAGAAATTCCAAGGTCACATGTAACAGTAAGTCTTTGTATACTCTGATTTTTAAATCTATAATCGGATGGAATTATAACAGATTTACGAGTATAAGTCACAACAGAACATTTAGCGGGATTGAGATCTAGTTTATTTAATTTACAGTAATTTTCAAGACGCTTTAAATCTGTCTGAAGATCTAATACATCGGCTGGCGATGATATAGATTTAAAAATTTTTATGTCATCTGCAAAACAAAGTGATCTGGAGTGGTGAAAACAAGATTCAATGTCATTTATAAAAATCAAAAATAAAAGTGGACCCAAAAGTGAACCTTGGGGTACTCCACTAGGTACAATGACCCAACTAGAAATATAATTATTAATAACTACAGCCTGGGACCTGTTGGAAATATAGGACTGAAACCATCTCAGCAGATCACCGCTAATTCCAATACGTTCTAACTTAGTAATCAATGTTTCGTGATGTATCCTATCAAAACATTTGCTGTAATCTGTATAAATTACATCAACCTGCATATTATTTTGCATTCTATCAGTAATAAATTCATTAAATAAAACTAAATTTGAGACGGTAGATCGACCATGAAGAAACCCGTGTTGAGAGTCGATGAAAGATTTTTCCAACGCTGCATAAAGGACATTGCTCGTTCCCCATACATTGAATGCCCTAGAACGCCCAGCAATGAGAAAATGCTAGTTGTGTTCGGAATCATTCATAAATTCTAATTAGGCATTCGTTGAGATACGGACAACTTGAGGAACCGTGGCCTACTACAGAATGTATTAGATGTGGAGGTTATAATTATTATACTTAATCGTAAAAGATGTACACTTTATATTATATTCTGAATAGATTTAGTGTTTTCCTCTATGTAAGCACTTAAATAATATGCATTAAATGAATATAAAATGCAATTAATAAAAATAACAAATGCTTATATTCATATTGATTTATGAGTGTTTCTCACAATAGATTTCTTTTCAAATGAAATGTTCAAAATCTTTCGATTTACCCGTTTCTATATTTTACTATCGGTAATAAGGTATGTACAACCTGGATATCATTGTGATTTTCATAAAAATAAACATGTATTATACGAGATGGGAGTATGTATAAACTATCTTTACATAAATAATATTTTTTTAAATATAATATAAATACTAGTGACAAGTATTATTAACTAAGGTACCTAGTTCTATTCTTATGTTGATAAATACCTATAGTCGCCATTATTGCATTTATTAAGGTAAACAATCTTGGCACAACTTTTTTACAAAATCACCCATTTAAAAATAAAATAAAAACCAAGCCAATAAACTATTAAAATAAATCGTTATTTTAGACTGAAACCTATTGAATCCAGTTATCAGTTGATTTTTAATGCTGTAAGTATTTCCAATAAAAAGGAGTGCCAAGATTGATTACCAAATAGGACAAGTTAGGATGAACATACTGTAATATCTAGTAACAGAACTTTTATTTTTTAGTTCTTTAAACAGATTGTCCGTTTACTATAATTAATTGATAATAAGTTAAAAAAATAATAGAAAAATAATAGTGAAGGATATTCTTTTGGGCATGCTAGGGCCGATTTCGTCGATGTCCTTTGGTTGTGAATAATTTTTTCAAATACTTTGGCAACAATGCACAACTTAGAAACTGGTCTGTAATTAGTGACCTCAGATTTCAGACCCTTTTTATGTATTGGCGTTATAAATGCAGTCTTCCACAATAAGGGCATATTATTTTCAGAAATAGATTTTATAAATAATAAATAGACAGGCACAGAAATAAATTTAGCGCACTTAACAAAAAATATAGGGGGCAAGTTATCAGGTCCTGCCGACTTATTAATATCTAAGGACAATAGCAATTTATTCACCACATCAATATCAATGTGGATATTACAAATGAGCAGTTCTCAAAATTTTTGTGACTGTTTTCGATTTTAGGTCAAAACTACAAATAACGTTGTATAGAACACTGAATACATAAAATAATTCTAGTAATTCTATATTTTCTTATTATTGAAACGGTTTCTTGATTTTATGAATCATAACATAATAAAAATTAATTTAGTATGATGATGGGCTTGAAAAACTTCTGATTTTGTTACCCTAAGTAACTCGAAATAAAACACATTGTTAAAAACATATCCAGTCTTTTCTTTGAGGTATTAATTACAATCATAAAATCTTCTAAAAAAAATAACAAAAATATCATAATCAAATAAAAAAACTACAAATAAAAACAAATTTTCGTTCCATTACGTTACATTTCTGAGTAATAATAATCTAAAAGTTTCCATTATTCTGTTAAATAAAGACATATGATTTTTTTTTAATAAGAATGAATTAACTTATTTTCATTCTTAAAACTTACGACCTACCAATTTAATATAATTTAATTAAACTTAATATAATTAGAAAAATCTCTCAAGGCTTAAAAGGGACGGTAACACTAATAGGAACTTTGGTAACAATGAAGAAATTATAAAGCTGAGATTGCACTGTAGGGCTTAATAAACTATTCAAAGAGGTAATAGGTAGGTACATTACAAACTATCAAACAAAAAATAAAAATTAAATCAGTCGTAATTATAAAATAATTTTGTTTCCATTTTTAATTGCAAACCTCACATTCGTCTGAGGTATAGTGTCCATAAATACAAAAATCACAGATTGGACACCAATTGGACGTATTTATAAGTATTTTCCGTATTTCTTTGACATCTAAAGTTGATATCATATGATATTGTTTCGACGGTGATGACTTCGTGTCCCGTCCACAATTGTAACATTTTGTATACATTACAAAATGGGTTTCTGGCCACGGCCATTTTATGTTGTATTTCAAAAACAAACGAAAATCTTTTTTCGACAAGAACTTATCGATATCATTGTCCAGTAATATCCCCATTTCGCTTGGCAGTGACTCGAATTTTTAGTTCTTTCTGGAATAAGTTAAAATACAATTTATATAAAATATATATCTTGTACGAAATAATTACGTATCTTTGGCAATTACACCTATCTCTACAAACTGTTTAAAATAGATTAAAACAATTGGAACAAATAATTTGGTCCAGATATGCCGTTGCACTACTGCAAGTTTGACAGAAATACTTATTACAAGTCATACATTTTGATAATTCGAACATAAACATACTAGTCTTACAATTCGTACAAGGCACTTTGCGACTAACAACAGTCCTAAGGGATTTATTTTTCTGTATATCTTTTTGTATTATGTTCGAAGCCTGTGATTCTATTTGACATTTCCTTTTCGGCAATGGTAGTTTATCCGTGAGTTTAAATATGAAATCTTGGCCTCTATTTCTAGATAATGTAGCTTTATCGGTGTGTTTAGCAGTTTGATCTGGTTCCAGCAACTTTTCATTTTCCTGAAGTACTTCTACATCATTCGGAATTGTGTTAGTAGTGGATTTTAAAATTTTCGTATTAATTATTGTGTTTGTAATAACGACCGGGAAAGCTATATTACCAGTGTGTCTATTTTCTTTATTTTCATTTTCTTCGCCTTTGGATGTAACTAATAATGAATTATTTTGCATATTTTCAGATGTTGGTTCGAAAATCGTATTGGTTGCGACAGTACTTGAAGTGTTGGTGGAAAACATGCTAATAGCTTTATTGATTATAGCATCAGACACAACTATTTCAAATCCTACGTTTTCGTCTGAAATATCCACAGCATGATCTTGATTTTCTGGAACTAAAGGAACATTATAATCTCTCTGAGCTGTTATCAAATCATCTAAAGTAGTTTCTGTCTGGTTAATATTGTTTGAAGCATCAGTCGGTAGGGTACAGTTGTTTTCATTCATATTATGTTCCAAATGATCTTGTTCTGTTAGCTCAGAGACATCAGATGCACCGACTTCAGATACCATATTCTCATTCGATGTTATGTCCATATTACAAAATAATTCATCACAATTTCTCTCAAACCTATGAGTTTTCAAATCAAAACATTGGCAGATAAGACCAGTACAAAAGCAACTAAGGATACGGTGGTAAATCGTCCTATCATTACTTTTTAAAGCTATAATTTCGTGAATCAACATTGTACCTCGTATAGTTTTAATTGAAGCTGGGATCAATATACGCACTTCGTTTATGTCTGAGTCATTTATATAAAAATATTTTACTGATGGTACATTTTTTTTCAGGGACGCATATACATCCGCTGCATTTACAATGTCTTTTCCATAAGCTACATCTCTATCTAAGGCCCTTTTCACAACACCACCTATTGCGTCAGCTACGCCCTTACCATGCCCGCTTTCAAAAAACGACCAAGTTATATCTATATGGAATAATGACGCAAAATATTTAATAAGTATGAAGTTATTTTTTTGTCTATATTGCGAGCTGGGACCATCGGAATAAAAATGAATTTTTTTTAGGTTAGGCACTAATGACTTAGCTAATTGGATGACTGGTTTTAAATGAGCCCAAATGGCATCAGGTTGGTGTATGTTTGAGGGTGAAATTGTGCAGAAAGATTGTTTAGATTGTTTTTCGCTCTTATAATATACAACACCCGTGTGTAAAGTGACCTGTGTTTTTGACGCACCGAAATGCATTGATTGCACTTCGGCCGCCAATTTGCAATCAAAATTTTCGGAAAAGTCGCAGTGTATGACCACTGCATCATTACCTATATTATCTTTAAGTTTATTATATTGGTCAATTTGATGCCAGTTGTTATAACTATGTACTTTAAATTTCTCAAGATCTGCTTTAAATATTTCTACTAAATAATTTATGGTACCATTTTTAATAGCTTTTATGGTTTTCTTAGTTTTGACCGTCTTATCACCTTGATCAGTTCTTTTTGTAAAACTGTGTACAGTGGTTTCCCACATTTGCCATTGAATTTCAGCAGTCAGATTATCTAGATTATAATTTATTTTTTTATTTTTACAGTTATTGCAAGTTCCGTACATGCATTGATATGACCTAATATCACAAACAATAGCTTTAAGTACTTCATAAGAATTATTGTGAAGCATTACATTATTTCTCCTTAAAGCATTACATTTAAAATCTATGTTACTGTGCTTCACACAAAGGCAAGTATTTCTTTTATTTATGGACGGCGAAAGAATATAAAAAGGTTTAAATTTGCAAAACGTGGAAAAGGAACCAGATCCGCCTTCTTGTTTAAATATTTCATACAAATTTTTCAAAGTATCGTTTTGGTATCTTCTTTGTTTTTTACACTTATTTCTAGTTATACACTCCCTCTTCCCTGATGTGGCTCGGGTAATATCATCTCTTAAGAAAAAATCCTCAATTTGTTTTTTCATTTTTAACAACTTCATTTTTTCACATTTTTTTCTAGCTCCTCCTTTTAATCCTAACTTTGAAATTATATAAAATGTGCCTTTTTTTTCTTGGATAGATTCCTGTACAGCAATACTTTTCAATAAATTCCTTTCTTCATTATTTTTGCAATTTTTATATGCATTTTTCAAAGCCGATTCAAGAAGTTCATTTCTAGCCGTAAGTTTATCTATTTTCAATTGTAGAGTGTCTTGGTTTGTCTTCTGTTTCTCTTTAAACCGGTATAACTTTTTTCTTAGAGTCTCATTCTGTCGCATCAAAGTAACTATTCGACTCTCAGCAGCTTCATATACTTTCTTATACATAGCTCTCGACCTTTGAAGACGCTTTATGATTGGTTGTACGTTATTCGAAGTGTGAGAAGTAGTAGGCGTATCTGCCACAACATCAGTGATATTTTTTGTTGTACAATCAGTCTGTTTCGATTTTTCGTGTTTTGTATATTTTCTTTTCTGGTCCCTCCATTTTTTTCGCGTATCAGCCTTTTCTCGATCTGTCATTTCGCTAATTTTTTTGTAACTATATTTAGATTTAATTCTTTCCAAATTCTTTTTTTTTTGTTCTTCATACTTTTCAGGGTTTTGCTTTAAACGCTCCCTATACCGCTTCTGCTTCTCGGCATTTGTTAGTGGCATTATCTGGAATAAACCTTTTTTATTTCGGTTTTCTATTTCATTCACTCGATTGTATGGTATCTTCAGAATCCTTAGTTATATAATTCATAAGGATTCTTAAAAAAATACACATAATTTGTAAAGCGGGCCAAGCATTTAAAAGTCAGGATTAAATGAAGAAACGTTTAAACAAATGTATGCATAGGTAGGTACATACCTACATATATTAGTCCGGGCAATTTAGACATTCGAAGGTGCATAAATTCCCAACAAGCTAAAATCAGTAAAATTGTTCAAAACATAATTATAAATAAAATGTAAAAGTTCCCCATAATTCCCGTGTATGGAAAAAAATGTACTCGAGGTCAAAGGTAAAAAAAAATGTTTTTCGCGATTTTCAACAAAACGGTAAGTTTTATCATAAAAGTACTCTATACAAAAATTGTAGATCATAAAATTATCTATACAAAATGTATCAATATTTTTTCCTACAAACCACCGTTTCTGAGATATAACGATTCAAAAAGTTGTAAAAACGCGCTAAGTAAGTGTACTTACTTAGCGCATAGGCAGTGGCCTATACCTATTATGGCGATAACAACTTTTTGAATCATTATATCTCAGAAACGGTGGCTTGTACGAAAAACAGTATTATTACATTTTTTATAGATAATTTTAGGATCTACCATTTTTGCCTGAAGTACTTTTATGATAAAACTTATCGTTTTGCTAAAAAACGAGAAAACCTCATTTTTTTACCTTTGACATCGAGTATTTTTTTTTCCATACACGGGAATGATGGGGAACTTTAGCATTTTATTTAAAATTATGTTTTGAACAATTTTACTGATTTTCAGCTTGTTGGGAATTTATGCAACTTCACTCTCATTTTTTGGTGTAAATTACCCGGACTATAACAATGAAGCCTGATACTTCACTCTAAATTCTTTCTCATAAAAAAATTGTATACAATGACTTCTATTAGTTTCATTGAATAGTAAAAATCTGTGTGCAATCAGCTTAACAAATTCTTATTTTGTTACTGTTGTTTCCGCTGATACATAACCGCACCGAAGTAACCAAAAAGGAGGTAACGAATAGTTCTTGTTAAGCATTTTATTGTATTTTTTAAATAGAAATTAAAGAGTACCTTGTACATTTAACATAAGTAGGAAATCATTATTAAATAGTTTATAGGTTTAGGTGTGTAAAATAGTAAATAAATCAGACTTACTTGTATTTTCGAAGTAACAAAAACAGATTTAAATTTTTGACCCAACAGACGACGTGAACTCCAACGAACTGAAAACTGGTAATGGACTGACTAACCGACAAAATGGCCGTCTCTCTTACTTTTTATAAAGTTGCTAGAGGTGTAAATAAAATTACCATGCAATTTCTAAAAGAAAATTGATCATACCGGGTAACAAAAGAGGATAAACAAAAAGGAACTTTCTTTGGGACAAAATTAATTTAATATTAATTTAAAAACCACACATTTAATCAGATATCTTTTTATGCAAATTAATGTATATATAGTAGGAGTATTTATTGCAATTAAAGTTATACCTGAAATTTCTATATTTTTTCCAATAAATCAGTGATCCATTCACAAAAAAATTGAGAATTGCTCAAATATCCGTCAGCGCCGATGCACCAAAATCACAATTCAAGCCGGACTTTTCAGGTGTGGACTGCAAAAAGGTGGAATAAAAGAAGTCAGAAAATAGATTTGCGATAGAAATACCATCGCTAGCGACAGCATCGCCATAAGTCATAGTATTAGGTATTCCAGATATTTTATACCGCGATTTAACAAATGACCAAAATATTTTGGGATTATCTTTAATTGAATTTTCGACAGATAAAATATAACTTTGATAGCACTCAGATTCTAACCGTTTAACCCTTTCTCTTCATAATTTATAGGTATACAAATCAGAATAATTTTTATATATCTTAAATCTTGTGTAAAATTTATGTTTTTCTTTAATAGCTTTTTTTAATGATGCTGAAAACCAAGAGGGATAGTTGCTATCGCGACAAATTTTTATAGGTACATACTTAGCGATTAGATTATTAATAGTTGAATAGAAAAAAGTAACAGCTTCATTCATGTCCTTGGTCATGAATTCTGCTTGCCAATCAATACGCTCAATTTGCAAGTTAATTTCATTATAATCACCCTTATTAAAATACGTTTATGTCTCGTTGCCCTTTATAAATATGAGCAATTATGAATCTCGAAATTTATTAAAAGTGCTTTGTGGTGAGGATCCAGCGGAACTAACGGGTCACAACAATCCATTATCAAAACAGTCGTATTCGATATAACGAGATCTAAAATCCTACCAAAATTATTTAATATTCCATTGTATTGGCACAAGTCGTAAGTACATAAATCATCAACTAATGACTGCTCGTCAATACTAGTTACATTGCTCGCAGAATAAAAACCATCTTTGTTATAAAGCCAGGATATACCACTCATATTAAAATCACCCACAATAAGAAATAAATCGTCGGGATTAGATAAGATAATTTCACCAAGCTTATTCAAATATTTTTTTAACTGCTCAGAGAATGAATACCCCATGTTTTGTTTGCATAAATAAACTACACACAAATACAAATTTATAAACCTATTTGAATTACTTCGTTTAATCGACAATGATACCCAAAGATCCTCAGCGGAAGAATTAAATCGAAATTGTGGGGTAACAGTTAGATCTTTCCGTATTGCAAAGAGCACACCGCCTCCACGGCTTTGATTTGTTAGCTCATAACATCTATCCCGGCGCCAAACTATGTATCTACTATCAAATAATTCCGCGTCACTAATACTATCTAACAACCACGTTTCCGTAAGTATAATAACGTCATACGAATGCAGGCACAGATTTCTATAAAAAGTCATAGTTTTAGATCGCAATCCCCTTACATTTTGATAGTAAATATTCAAATTAGTGTTTATTATTGCAGGGTTTTTAAAAATATCCATTAATTAATTTGATATGACACATAAATACTATAATACACTCCAATATTATTATTACACATATAAACATCTTTAAGTAAAAAGGATTTTTTTCAATAAGTTGAGGAATAATATAAAAACACTATTAATTGACGAAATCAGCCAAGCACCAATCATTTCATAAACGAATAATGTTCTTAGCGCGGAGCAGAGAAAATAATGACCATTTAATCTATAGGTGCAAGCAGTCAAGAAAATATGGTATGCAAACGCGCGCTGTGCACGCCACGCTAATTGAATAAGAGTAAGCGAGAACGACATATAATTATTAGATTGACTTAGAAAGACGGGTTCATAGTGTAAACAAAGGCAAGACGTCCTCAGCAGAGGTGGAAATCTAGGTATGATAAACATAAAGTTACAATTAAAGTTGTTATAATTAAGTGAACAATAATAACTTTCATGAATAAGTGGAAAAAATAAAGTTACAAAAATTAAATTGAATAGTCCATTACTTTCTTCATGACAGCCTATACAAACTTGTTTAAATCGCTCAATTTATTGACTATAAATACAGCAGATTTGTCATTCTTTCTAACATGTATTTTACCAAACTTTACCCAAACGTAGCTATAGTGTTTTTCTTTGGCAACTATTTTAGTTTTGTTTAATAACAATTTGGATTCCGAGTTTAAATGATCATTTACGAAAATACGCTGCTCTGATCCCTGGTATCCAATATCTTCAGCTTTCAATTCCTTCAGTGCACGTGCTTTAGAAATAAAGTCTTCCTTGATATATCGATTAATAAAACTAATCACTATTGATTTCTCTTTGGAATTATAAGTCGGAACTCTTGAAATGTAATTAATCTGGGTCTTTGGTATAATGTACTCCGCTTTTGTACATATAGCATCCATAATTTTGAAGAGATCTTCTTCCTTCTTAAGCGGTACACCCTTAATCTCAACATTGTTTAGACGAGATCTTTGTTCTATATTATATAGCTGCAATTTCATGTCGGTAATAATGACTGCCGAATCAGATAATTTTGATTCCAGATCATTCACTCTGCTGTCGGTGGTAATGGACTTAGCGTTCAGCTCATCAATCAGAGAGGACGAGAAATTGCTGGACTTTTTCAACTCAGCTATATCTTCCTTCATGGACTTTATTTCCTCTAGTAGATTTGGGAGACATTTTAATTTATCCTTAATGTCACCAAACTCCACCAATTGCAATTTCAAGTCACGAATTTCTTGAAGTATAATTGCTGGCGAAGCTAGCTCGTTGGGGCTAGGCGGAGCAGAGCCCGATGTTCTACATGATGGGCATCTCCAGGAAGATCTTCGGTCCGTACCCAGTCTTCTCCAACCCGCCTCGGTCAGTCCAGCACAACCAAAGTCCAATTGCTTTGCACAAGCAGAGCATTGAACGAGATCGGAGAATGGTTTATTACACATTGAACAAATCATACTGAATTTAGTTAAATAAATACTAAATTATTATAACGTAGAAAATTGAAAAAAGGTTTACAATCTATGGAATACACGTAAAATCACAACTAGGCGTACTCTTTACTCGGCTGTCCGCACGCGACTTGATACGGATACGGTATAGTTAGCTAGGTTTTAATTATATAATTCTCATCCCAAAAGGAACTCTCATATGCAGACTTTATCAATTTACTTTATTCGTCCGTGTTTTGGTCACATACATACTCGTACATACGTGTGTGACAGACAGACAGACAACCAAATGATCCTATAAGGGTTCCGTGTTTGCTAATTAATGTACGGAACTATAAAAAGACTCAAAACTAAATATATGAATAAAGTCCAAAATGACTTTGATGAATCTAAGTTTCAATTTGTCTTCTTTTCAATGAATTCACAGGCTTCATCATCATCATCATCATCAGCCTATTAATGTCCCCACAGCAAGGGTACAGGAATTCCCTATGGATGGAATAGGGAGATTGGGCCATGACCCACCACGCGGTATAGATTGGCGGGTGCTAACGACTGCAGATGCAGCCGGGACCGACGGCTTAACGTGCCTTCCTAAGCACGGAGAAACTCGAGATAGAAGATTTTCGGTCACCCATCCAATGACCGACCACTGCGAAAGTTGCTTAACTTCAACGATCGCAGCCGAACGCTCTAACCACCTGCGCCATCGAGTTCCTCACTTCTCACGGACTTCACTTTAGCAATTTTCAGTTATCATGTTTCCGGTTCATTCAGAACTTAGTAGTTAAAAAAACGGACACGTTAACATCAAATAATAGGCAATGAAATATACAAAGATTTAACATATAATGCGATTCAAATAAGAATAGGAAAGCCAATGACCTCTATCTGTCAAACGTACGGTTTGCAAAAATAACTTGGAACCCTTTTTTAGCACTCTGCTAATTCAAGAATAAAAACCAAGCATTTGTAAACAAACAATAACAAATATTATTTGTTTCTTAGGTTTTCACGCACATCACTCATTAAATAAAACTAGTTTTTACGGGTTAATGCACGAAACTTTATTTATTTCTGACGACGAAGCCTTTAAAGGCTACGAAACGTCAATAAATAAATAAAGTTTCGT